CATGCTCGACTCATGATCGGACATATTGGAAAAGGATTAATGAGTTATACCGAGATTCCCCGTAGCACGCTACACACGGGCTAGCACGTCTGTACAAATGAGCACGCATGCACAAATGGGGTATCCCTCAACACTCTGGTAAAGAAGATTGACTATACGATAGACAATAGACGAAATACCGACTAACATAAGATGAGATATAGTCGTACCCAGTCATCCCACCCCTGCTCAAGGTCGATCTGCAGCTTGAGCACATTAACCGTAAAAGGGACGAATATTGCGTAGGCTCTCCCACGAGGTGCTCTCCGCAGTATCGGATTTTCGCACCTCCACCCGCAGAGAAGGTAGATCAATGTTAACAACTCTATACCAGTCACGGCTATACTTCCCCTGCCCATGACCGGCGCCACCGAAAGGATCGGGTCGGAAGACTAGTACGCGATCCCCGATCTTAGGCATTTGCGCTTTTCTCCTTGGTCTCAAAGTGGTGACCAAAGGCCGCTCTTCCTTGGCCTGGATGAGGTCGTCCTTCAACGCTTCTCTCTCCTTCTCAATGTCGTCGAGGACAGGTGGTTTCTCATCACGGCTCGGCGGATTAAGCGCTTGAGTGGCCCCACCCGGAGCAAGGCGCAGCTCTTCTTCTTCACGACGGGCACGACCGAAAAAGATCTCAAAACTGCTTTTGCCTGTCAGCCCCGGTTTGGCATTCGTTCGGCGCATCGCCTTAGCCATGAGATCCTCCCATTTACCGGTAGCATTATAGACATCACGATAACGGCGCAAAGTGCGTTTGAGGGAACCAACCGCAGCTTCAGCACTCCCATTCTGCCAAGGAGCATAAGGAAGGCAGATATGGTGCTTAACACCTCTGCGGGATAGGAAGTTGCCAAGGAAACGGCTGCGGAAACAAGGACCGCCGTCACTTCGCAGCCTTTCCGGTGTTCCCAGGATATCGAATGCAGCTTCCATTCCCTGGGACACGGCACGGCCAGACGAATCCTTGATTCCTACCATATAAGTGAACTTGGAAAACTCGCAGACGAACACCAGGGCATAAGTGTGATTTTGCCTAGACCGCACGAATGGTCCAGCCAGATCACAACTGACGACGCTCCAAATGTTGCGAACGCCGGCATCAAGATGATTGTAATCACCGCTACCTGAGGCGAAAAATCTCGTAGTAGCTGCAGCCTGGCAATCGGGGCATTCCCGAACGATCTTGGCAGTCAATGAGGTGATCCCTGGAATCCAGAAATCCCTCCCGACTCGCCAACGAGTTCGTCGGCAGTGATCATGTGCTCCCACATCGTGATAGCTGGTAATCACCCTAGTGGCTTCTTGCACGCCCTCCTCAACATCCGTAGGGATAGCTATGAGCTTTTTAGGAGGCTGAGCCGTATCTCCATGCGGGAATTTAAGGGCTACGAGCAGGCCATCCTCGAACTTGAGATATTCCAGCTTACCATCGACCATGATACCATCTGGGTAAGAGGCGACCGTGAGCTTGTTGATGACGTCCTTGAACTTGGGTGACGCTGCTTGAATACCAGCAAGTCGCTGACGTGCCTCATCTCCGGGACGACCGAGCGCCAACACCGTGGGGTCCAAGACGATACTCAAGTGCGGAGCGAGTCTATCCTCAGACCTAGGACCGGACAATCCCATGTTGTCTAGAATTCTGCTCAGTGCATCAGCCTCGGCATTCTCCTCTCCAGTAACCTTCTTCATTAGAACCTCAACACCGTATAGTTGAATCTCGTCGAGAAGCTCCCTGATGTTATTTGCTAGCCTTTTCACCATAACTTTCTCGGTACTAGAGCAACCGGCGTGGCCGAGCTCGGCCCATGATAGAGCAGTCTGCGAGTCACTGTGGAAGATGACTCGTGTTAAAGGCAACGAGCTTCCGTGGTTAGGGGTAGCAGAAGAGAGAGCCGACGGACCTTCAACCACCACTGAATGAACATAAGTGACAGCCTTTGCCAAACTGATCAATTCCTTCCGGTTGATGTGGTAGGATTGTGAAGGACCCGTCCAGATGAATGCATTGCCGCCTACCAACCACTCAGCCACCCCACCCCCTGGTCCGGCATAGCAACAGTAACCGGCTCCGGACGGGCTGGCGTCGGACCAAAGTAGCAGCTCTTTATGTGAGTTTTGCCAGTTGAATGGCAACAGGAAGGATACATGTTCTAGATCTCGGGAATGCATCGTGAATGACCTTGTAGTCCCACTATCCGCAGTTAGAGTAAATT